ACTCTGGAGTCCATCTATGTGCATGTGTGCTCACTTTGGTCATATCTGACTCTGCAACTCTATGGACTGTAGCTCACCAGGTTCCTCTGTCCATGCGGTTGTCCAGGCAAGAATACTGGAATGGGTTGCCATTGCTTCCTCCAAGGGATCTTCCCGACCCAGGGATCGAGTTGGAGTCTCCTGCATCTCCTGTACTGCAGGCAGATTCTTCACTGCTGAGCCACTGGGGAAGCCCTGGAGTCTATCTACCTTTGTTCAAATCTTGGTTCCATTCCTATTAGCTGTGTGGCCTTGGGGAAATTATTTTTTCTCTCTGTGCCTCCCTCTGTAAGGTGGTGATAATCCTAGTACCTACTTCATAGGGTTGGGTTGTTAGGATCACCTGGTTGCTCTAAGTAAATGGCTTAGATAAAGGACAGCTGGGTAGATTCCCAAACAGCTGAGTGTAGAGCTACAGCTGACTTGTAGCTATATGGGGATCTGTGAAGGAGCATGCTAGAAGGAGGGAACAAGTGCAGAGGTTCTGAGGCAAGAGTGTTCCTGGCATGTTTGTGAAAAAATTAGGGGATAAACTAGGTTAGGTCTCTTTCATGCCCTGTGCTTTTCCTGAAAGAAATACACTGAGAGGATGTACAATGGCAGAGGAAGGGTTTCTAGTGCCATGCCACAAGCCTCTGTCCTTGTTTTCCTTCAAGACAAAAGAGGAATCCCTCACTATCATAACAACATGTCTACTTGCACCCCAGGGCAGTCTCTCTCAGATTTTCCTCCCCATTCTGCATTCATATGTGTATTTCTCCATGGCACTGTATAACTGTATATTCTTTTCAGATGGGAATGGGGCCTTATCCATCTTATATCTCCTGTATCATTTAGCTCAGTGCTCTGCCCACAGTAGGAGCTCAATAATACACACACACGCACACACACACACACACACGCATACACATGACTACGTTTGCTTGCTCCCAGCCTTGTCAGGGAGTGAGGTGCTTTGGACAAGAGAATTGAGAGTTACAAGGATATCCAGAGGTTGAAAGATGAAGGAGATCAACAAGATGACATTGAATGGGGAGTCATTTATTTAACAAGTGTTTACCGAGCACCTACTGTACTTAGGCAGAGTTCTAAGTACAAAGGATATAGAAGTGAGCAAAGAGACCAAATCCTCACGTTCGTGGAGATGTTATTCTAGAGTAGGAAGATTGACAAACAAAATGAGGAAGTGAAATGTATGGCATGTTAGAAAGTACCAAGTGTTCAGTGGAAGGAGATAGAGCTGGGAAGGAGGTAAGAAGTGTCAGAGCAACTTGGTGTTTCAGTTTTGGTTTGGGGCAGCCAGAGATGGTGACTTGTAGTTACTTGGGGTTCTGCGAAGGAGCATTCTAGAAAGAGGGAATAGCAAGGGCAAAGGTTATGAGGCAGGGGTGTTCCTGGCATGTTTGAGAAAAAATTAGGGGATAAACTAGGTTAGGATTCTTTCATGCCCTGTACTTTTCTCTCCTTATCTTAATTGCAATTAAATACTTGTTTAATTACCTGTTCAATGTCTCTTTCTCTGCTGGACTCTAAGCTTTCTTAGTGTAGAGGCCGGGCCTTGTTCTCTGCTAAATTCCTAACTCTCAGCATAGGTCCCGCCCGGCACACAGGAGGTGTTTAATCATAATTTGTTGAGTCCACAAGTAAATGTGGGGACTTCCTTGGTGGTCCAGTGGTTAAGAATCCGCCTTCCAATGCAGGGGTTGTGGGTTCAATCCCTGGCCGGGGAACAAAGATCCCACAAATCTCAGGGCAGCTAAGCCTGTGGGCCACAACTAGAGAAGCCCAAGCATTGCAATGAGAAGCCCTTGTGCTGCAACAAAGATCCAGTGCAGCCAAGATTAAAAAAATAAGTTCAATGTGAATAAATGGCTATTGGGTAAAAGCATCCACTGCACAAGCAGAACAGGCTTGAGTGCAATTAGAGGGAAAGAGGTTGAGGAGTTGTAGTTGCAGCCACAGGTGAACTCAGGGTGGAGCAGTAAGAAAAGGGGCCGCCGAGGAGTGGTTAATACAAGTAGCTGCCCTGGCTGGGTATCCTCGAAAGCAGGACTGTGGTAGGTAGGGATTGTAGGGCTTGAGGTGTGGCTGAGGCTGGTTGACTTGGAGCAGGAGATTTAACCCAATGGGTAAAACCCACTGGAACTGTCACATGCTGGGTTTAACGGTAAGTCCATGATTTGAGCCATTTGCACTTTACTGCCTGTAAGTGGGACCCTTTTGTGTACCTTTGTGTGTAACACTTGGGCTTCCCAGGTGGTGCTAGTGGTAGAGAACCCACCTGCCAATGCAGGTTAGACATAAGACTCGCAGGTTCAGTCCCTGCATCGGGAAGATGCCCTGGAGGAGGGCATGGCAATCCACTCCAGGATTCTTGCCAGCAGAATCCCCATGGACAGAGGAGTCTACAGTCCATGGTGTCACAAAGAGTCAGACATTACTGAAGTGACTTAGCACGTGTGTACCACTTAGCCTCTGAGGGGTCTAGTATTCATATCTCCAGATCATTTTGTCATTCTCTCCATCGTGGCATGATTTTTTTTTTTTTAATGGAGGAAAACATGTTACAGTAGTGTTTGAGAATTTAAGGGGATTCAAGAAGGTCCCTGGGTATAACTGTCATGGGTAAGAATTCACCTGTTAGACAAGTACTTTGAATGCCTAGTGTAAGCCAGACCCTGAGCTGGATGGAGGAGTGGACAAGGCAGACATGGTGGAGTCATGATCAAAGGTCTGTTTATGGGCTGTTCCTGGATCAGTGGTCTGAGCTGGGTGGGGGCTCAGGCTTCAACCCTATCAGCTGTGTGGGTGGCCTTGAGCAAGTCGCTCAAACCAGAGTGATGGGTCAAAGCAGGCTTAGAGGTCATCTGGTGCAATCTCTTAGATTACTCAAGGTTGCAGTCTCTGCACCTACCCTAAACCCTATGGGGCCTCAGAATCCTTAAGTGGAAAACAAGGGCATTGGACCAGAGAAACTTGAAGCTCTCTGGCTTTAATACTCTGTCACATGCTCAGTCGCTTCAGTCATGTCCGACTCTTTGCGACCCCATGGACTGTAGCAGACAAGGCCCCTCTGTCCATGGGATTTTCTAGGCAAGTATACAGGAATTGGTTGTCGTGCCCTCTTCCAGGGGATCTTCCCAATGAAGGATCGAACCCTCATCTCCTGCAGTTCCTGCATTGCAGGTGGATTCTGTAGTGCTGAGCCACTGGGGAAGCCCTTCTGATACTCTGAAACATTACAAATATGGGGAAGTTTCAAGTGTGACCTTTGCCCTTCACCCTTGATATTGGTGGGGAGGGAGTGGTTGCATCCAGCCGGCAGAGATCTTTCTCAAGAATGTTTGTGCCTCTGTGGAGTGGTCCCCAGGGGGCTAGGGTTTGGAGGTGGGTCCTCAATGGGAGTCAACCCATTTCCCAGATTCTCTTTCTAGACTCCAAGTCTGCCTGCACTGCCTCCTCTCTTCTTGGTGTACCTGAATCATTTCTTGGATTGTTTTCCTTCTCTTCTCTTTCTCACCTGAGTCCTCAGTCCCTTGATCGCCTTTGTTTTCCCCAGAGGAGGCCTGGCCTCTTCCTCCCCTTGAGGTCATCTGTCATTCAGTTTCCTTCCGGGTTGTCTGCTGGATGGGGCTATAGGGGAAAGAGGAAGGGACTTTTAATCCTCTAGAGGGAGGGGAGACACGCTCACTGTTGTCTGTTGCCAGGGTTGGAGCGTCTACGGGATTGTTTGCATTGCTAGGACTGACTTCCTCATAGCACATCTCTTGCGTGTTCGTTATTCTGTGAGTCTCTGTACTGGCTTTGAGTTGCATTATCAAAGACCCCAGTACCCCAGCTTCAGGGTGCATCAGGCTCTAAGAAATGAGGGGAGGACGAGGGAGAAATAGCCCTCCCTTCATGGAAAGTAGACATTTTGGAAATTTCTGAAAATCAGAGCTGCTAGCCCTCCCTGCCCGCAGTGGGAGGGCAACAGGGGAGGCAGCTGAATGATGCCTGCATCCTCCACTGGGTGGGAGAATTGCTGAGTGATGAACCGTCCTGCTCCTCTCAGGGCAGGGATTGAATCTAAAGCCACAAAGCTCCTATGTTTGTTCCCAGTCCCCAAGGGAAGGGTGCTTCTAAATGTACATTTTATTTTAGAGCCTGGGAGCTCTGATGAGTAACTTGATAAATGCAGTGCGAGACCCAGGTTGATGGGCCTGGTGCTGTATGTTTGTGGAAGGGACACAGCTGGGCTTAGGAATGCTTTATCTGCCACCATCCCAGGTGGAGAGGTCTGGTTTGTGTCGGGTGGCGCCTTGTCGATGATTGCTGGGTTGGGCAAGAGGAGGGACTTGGATACCCTGTTTTTCTGTTTCATTTCCAAATCTTGCAGTGTCTTTGAGCCAGCGATGACAGTAACACCTCTATTAACCTCCTGGCTTCTCCTGTGCTGTAAAGAGCCTTCCTTCTTCTACTCTTGTATGTGGAGCCTCCTTTGAGAAGCTGTGCTCCCCTGTCCAGCATCTGCAGGGCACTCAAGTGCTCCATTTGAACCCCCTCCATCTTCTTCTCCCCTTGAATGTGCCTCCCTTCTTTCCCATCTCCTCCTCCAGGAAGCCTTCCTTGAATGACCCTCAGTGACTTTGCTCAGGGCCCTCTCTCCCCATCCCCCAGCACTGAAGTCCCAGTCTCTGGCTGCTTCCTGGTCTTCAGAATGTGCCCACACTTCCTGTAGCCTGGAGCTCAGAGGGCAGGCTCTGGGTCTCTTCCCTGGGCCCTGCACGTGCCGGGCATCTATTCCCAGGCGTGTCAGAAGAGGTCAGCTGGAGCCAGTGACAAACACAGTCAGGCCAAGAGCATCTTGCTCTCCAAGGCCCAGCCCAGGCACGGGAGGGGATAAAAATCTCGTGCCGGGCCTCAGGGCAGGAACTCGCTCTTGAGGATCCTTTGCAGCCCTGAGACCTTCAATCACTGCCATGTCTCTCTCTCCCTGCCAGGCCCGGAGGGGCTTCAGTGCTCGCTCAGCCTGTTCTGCCCAATCAGTGGGCCGAAGCAGGGCTGGCTTCAGCAGCAGGAGCCTCAGTTCCTTTCGGGGGTGCCGAGGAGGCTCTCGTGGAAGGACCTGGGGTTCGTGGGGAAGGCTAGGGGTGCAGCTTGGGGAGGGGAGTGGTGGGCCTGGGCTTTCCCTGTGCCCTCCGGGAGGCATCCAGAAAGTGACCATCAACCAGAGTCTTCTGACGCCACCGAAGATTGAGATCGACCCCCAGTTCCAGGTGGTTCGGACTCAGGAGACCCAACAGATCAGAGTCCTCAACAACCAGTTTGCTTCTTTCATTGACAAGGTGAGGGTCTGCTCAGCTAAGCCCCTGCCTCGGAGGAACTGTTTTCGATGGACTTGGGAAAGGGGCAGTCTAGCCTCCTACTCCTTTTCTAATCACTTACGGCAAGGAAGTCCCTCTTGTGGTCTAACTGGAGTCTCTCTGGTTATGCCGAGGCTATGTTTAATTGGTGTTTTGAAATTCCCTTTATAGAAATGTCATTATAATTCACTGAGAGTGTGGGCAAATATTTATCAAAGGCCTCAAAGGCTCCAGGCCGGCTAGTGTTGCTCAGGCTAGAGAGTTGTCCCGGAGGCTGTGCCCAGGCAGGGAGTCTGGCAGGAGCCTCAGGAACTCTCTGCTTGTGTGGCAGGTGAGGTTCCTGGAGCAGCAGAACAAGGTCCTGAAAACCAAGTGGCACTTGCTGCAGCAGCAGGGGTTGAGTGAGAGACCCCAGGGCCTGGAGTCTTTCTTCGAGGCCTATCTGGTCCAGCTCAAGACACAGCTGGAGCGGCTGCAGAGGGAACGAGGGCCTCTGGACGCCGAGCTGAAGTCCTGCCAGGGCCAGGAGGAGGAGTATAAAGCTAAGTATGTGAACCACAGCATCCCCATGGGGCCTGGGTGGTAGCTGGGAGGGCTTGAATCAGGCTGTCTGCTGGAAGTTGTCCTTCCTCTGAGCTCCCGGAGTCATAGGACAGGCCTCCCCTCTGGCCTCTGCATCCCCACTCTCTCTGATTCTCAGGGGGCCCCATCTGCTGCAGGTAAGAGGCCCTCCTGCCTCTGATACCCAGGACTAGAGAGCCTCAATTCTAGCAGGCCCTGACTATGAGGGCCAAGTTTCTGGTCAAGGTGGGGAGGGGCTTATTTAAAGAATGTTCCTGTGGGTTTTTTTCTTGAGAAATTCCTGTTGAGCAGGCTGTGGGCTAAAGTGACTCAGATATTCTCTGGTCTCAGAGGTAGAAGGGAATTCACTTAGTGGGACCATCCCTGGGCCTGTGGCATGATTCACAGCTGGCTGTAGTTCTGGATTCCCCACGAGGTCACCTGGTGATATGGGGAGAGCTCTGAAGCCACAGAAGCCTCAGGTTTGGTGACTATGAGCAAGGAATAGCTGTGTGGCCTTGAGCAAAGAATCTCACCTTTCCCAGCTTCAGTTTCCATATCCGTAGACTGGGATAATGCCTTTCTCACGTTCCAGAGCCATTAGGAGGTTGGCTCCAGGGCCCACGTGGGGGGTCCTAGAAAGACTGAGGCCAGGAGACCTGGGTGTTAGATCTGCATGGGCCACCTAATTATCTATAACCTGGGCACATCTTATAATCTCTCTGATAAAATCCAAAATGCCTGCTTCAGATGATGATTGTGAGTGGTAAGTGATTGTGAGAAGTGTTTGAAAGTGCCTTCCAGACGTGAAGCTAAGTGACCTGATGTCATAGAGGACCTGGGCTGAGAGAGTGAAGAGGGACATAGGACATGATAAAACTTCCTAACGGAAGAATAGAGGTGCAGGCTCGTGGTGGGTCCCGCTTTGGAGCATCTAAAGCAGAGTGACCTTCGCTTGGAGACTGTGCTTGGAGACAGTCCTCGGCTCTGATGCCAGTGCCCTAGGCAGCATCTTTCTGTGCTTACTTGGCAGGTACGAGCTTGAGGCCTATAAGCGTGCCACACTGGAGAATGACTTTGTGGTCCTCAAAAAGGTGAGTGGGTTCAACTGCTCTACCTGAATCCTTTAAAAAAAAAATTATTTATTAAGCTGCACTGGGCCTAAATTGTGGCATGTGGGATATTTAGCTGTGGCGGGCAAACTCTTAGTTGCGGCATGTGGAACCTAGTTCCCTCATCAGGGATTGAACCCCAGCCCCCTGCTTTGGGAGCACGGAGTCTTAGCCACTGGACCACCCGAGAAGTCCCCCTACCTGAATCCTGAGCCATTCATTGTGCACAGAATCTGGGCTGCGAGAGCCGTGTGTGTGTGTGTGTGTGTGTGTGTGTGACATGTCACATGCTGTCACATATCTACAGGGACCCTGTGGGGAAATGGAACATAGATACAGGGACCCTTGAACAAGATCCGATTGAGGGACTATGTGATGAGCTCTGGGAGTCACTGGCGGAGAGGGTGGGGAGGGAGTGGAAGAAGACGAACTGGTTGGGATGAATTAGGGAAGGCTTCCTGAAGGCGGTGTGGGTCAATGGCAGACAAAAGAAAGAGCAGGGCAAGGCGGGGCTGAGAGAGGAAGGAATGTGAGCTGGAGAGGGCCATAGGGGTGTGTGTGCTGGGCAGTGTGTGAACAGAACTCCTGGGTCAGAGAGGGACCCCCGATGAGGATGTGGGGGTACATGGTTTTTGTCTTTCTGTCCCCAGGATGCAGACGGGGTTCTCCTGAGCAAGATGGAGATGGAAAGCAAGGTGGAGGATCTGAAAGAGTACATCTGCTTCCTGAAGCATCTCTATGAAGAAGTGAGGATTCTCCAGGGGCAGAAGCGATGGTCTGCCTAGGGCAGGCGGGATGAGGGAGGGGGACAGCACAGGCAGGCTCCCTGTGGCCACGGCATAGTGGGAGTGGCCGGGAGGTGAAGCCTGGTTAGGGTGACTTAGACACTGGTCATTCGGTCCTTTGACAATCACTGAGCATGTACCAGGTGAATTGCTAGGTATTGAGAATACACCCACGAATAACCAGACAAAAATCACGAGGCTAGGAGATAATGAACACAATAAGCAGTAGACCTGGTAAATAAATAAATTACATAGCATGTTAGAAAGTGATAAATGCTATGTAAAAAGGAAAACTGGGAGAGGAGGATTGGGAACATGGAGGGGTAGGGCTGGTGGCAGTTTAAGAGTGGTCAGATGGCCTTATTTAGAAGACGAAATTGGAGCAAAGATCTGACAGAGGTGAGGAAGTTAGCCACATGGTGGGGGGTGGCTTGAGGGATTCCCGGCAGAGGGAGCCAGGAAATGCAAGGAGAAAGAGGGAGGGGATGTGATAGATGGTCAGGGAGTGACGTGGGCCGGGTGATATGGGCCCCTGAGGACATGTTCCTTTAACGTCCAGGAGTCCTTGGACTGCCCTCACTTCCAGATAAGAGGACAGGGCATGCTCAGTGCCAGCTGGCATGAATGAGGGCTACCTCTGAAGGGGGGCGCAGGAAGTCAGGCACTCTGCCCACTTTCCCTGGGGCTCCAAGGGGAAGGGGGAGCCGGGAAGCCATGGGACACTGAGTTGGTCCTCCCCGCAGGAGCTGGGCCAGCTGCAGACCCAGGCCAGTGACATGTCCGTGGTGTTGTCCATGGACAACAACCGCTGCCTGGACTTCAGAGACCTCATCGCCGAGGTCCGAGCCCGGTATGAGGAGATCACCCGGACCAGCAAAGCCGAAGCCGAGCTGCTGTACCAGACCAAGGTGCCGGGGCTGGGGGGCTAGCACTGAGCTGGAAAAGACTGGGTCTCCCTGCCTGCCCCCCTGGGGTGGTTGTCCACCTCAGTCTGGTTGGGGCAGTTCTGATAACCTGTCTGGAGCACCAGGGCTGGGTGGGTAGCATGTTCTCCCTCTCCAGGAGGGAGGCAGTGCACGGGAGACGAGCTTGGAGTTCCACAACCTCATCCCACCACGTCCTGGTCTCAGCGTTTCACCTGCATTCCGGATGAGGATGTGAGGAGGCAGAGAGCCGGGGCCATGGTCAAAGGTGAGGGTCAAAGGTCAAAAGTGGGGTGCTCCCCACTGACGGTGTCACCTCTGTTCCCCCTCAGTACCGGGAGCTTCAGGCCTGTGCCCAGCTTCACGGGAACAGCATGAAGGAAACCAAAGTCCAGATCACTCAGCTGCAGCAGACAATTAAGAAGCTGCAGAGTCAGATTGAGAACGTCAAGAATCAGGTAAGGGTCCTGAGCCCCCAAGCCCTCTGTTTTACCACCTTTGTGCAGGGGTCACCGCGGGGTTGGTGTGAAAGTTTGAAAACTCATTGGAGCTTCACATAATTTGGGGTCGAGAGCACTTTGAGCCCCATGTCAGAGGTGTTCAGCTCTCCTCCAGGGGATTCTAGCTGCACGGGCTCCGCACTGCCAACCCAGGCCCAGCCTTCTCACTGCATTCCACGCCCACATGCACTTGGCGCTTTCGGCTCCTAGGGGAGAGGGTTAATTCATATCTTTTCTAATCTCTTCTTTTGACACTTAGTCCTCAAGTCCAGCAAGGACTCTAAGACCATGCACTGGGTTTCCTGGTCCCCTGTTGGGGAGGGAGAGAACCAGGATCTCAGGGAGCGGGGGACATGGGCAGGATGGTGGGGTGCCGAGGCCCCCTTAGGGTCGGGTGATGCTGTGGGTGGGAAGAGCGGGGAGAGGTGAATGCAAAGGATGGCAAGGGTAGGGAGGTGGTTTCCTGCTCCTCCTGGAGACCTCACTTCCATATTACAGACTCTTAAGTTTTCAAGTGTCTTTGCCCTCACTTTCCCTAAGCCCAAAGAATCGTTCTTTTGGGATCAACAGAGGGTTGAGAGCTGAGACCACAGAGTCAGAGGGTTTCCTCAAGCACTTCAGCCTGATTCCCAAGTCATGTGTGGCCCGTGCACGTGTGAGCAAGGCACAGATCTTGGAGAAAGTTCTTGGAGTACAGATCATTCAAAGGTCATACACAGTCTCCAGACATCCTGACCTGCTCTCCTTTGAAGTGCAAGGCAGGACCAGAGGTGAAGGTGACCAGGTCCTATTACTCAATTTGCTGCCTCTTTGTTTTGCCCGTAATTTTGGACTTTTTGCTTTGGAAGCTTGGGGATTCTCTGGGGTGTCTGATAAGATACAGATTCCTGGGCCTCCCACTGGCAACAGGGAGTCACAGTCTCTAAGGGTGGAACCCAGAAACCTGCTTTCTCAACAAAGGTCACCAGGTAATGATGAAGCGCGTGGAGTCTGAGCCCAGTGGCGAGCGCTTAGGAGAGTCACTATGTGCCCACATCTAGGAAGCACTGTCCTTCTGTACAGAGAGGTGTTTTTCCTGGGAGAATCCCTCCTGGGGACCCACCCCCTATTACTCCTCCTTTTCATGCACGAGCCTGATGAATGGAGACTAAAGTAAGAGCAGTGAACTGGACCTCAGATGTCCTGGGTTAGGGTCCCAGCTCCACCTCTCACCTCCTTTCTAGGGCTGAGTTTCTTCATCAGGAGAAGGGAGACAGTGTCCCCATCCATGGGGTGCTTTGTGGAAAATGAATAATGAGAGCCTTTAGGGAATGCCTTCCTTCCTGACCCGAATGTGAGGGTAAATCAGCTAGATGGCTGATTAGACAGGGATGCAGTCTTTCCTCTAGGAGTTTTCTATCGGATTGGAGAGGTGAACACAGAGAAAGTGTTTTTCGAATTGAGGCCCATAGTTTGATAGACTCTGACAACACCGGGACAAAGTATTTGAAATGGGGTTTTTCTAAAAAGCACATGGATAATGACCCATCCAGGACAGGAGGAGCTGTAAGTACCCTGGGAGAGAGAAACTATTTGAGGGATGGCGCTGAGGGTTAGGGCTAGTGGAAGAAATACGGAAAAATCACTGGGGAAAGTGACAAAGGAGATGGATTCATTTCCTGTGGCTGCTGTGACCAAGTATCACAAACTTGATGGTTTGAAAGAACACAAAACTGTTCTGTCTGGTCCAGAGGCTGGAAATCTGAACTCAGGTGTCAGCAGCTGTGCCCTCTGAAGGAGCTGGGGGAGTCCTTCTTGGCGTCTGGTGGCTCCAGGAATTCCTTGTTTGGTGGCTGCCTCACTCTCATCTCTGCCTCCATCTATCTCAGTGTCTGTATCCCCTCATCTTTTTCTTGGACATTGGTCACTGGATTTAGGGCTCACCCTAAATACAGTATGATAGCATCTTAAGATCCTTAACTCATTACATCTGCAAAGACCATATCTTTCCAAATAAGGTCACATTCTGAAGTTCTTGGTGGACATGACATTTTTGAGAACACTACTTAACCTGCTCTAGGATTTAAGAAGCAGAAGAGGGAACACTTCCTTTTAGAATGAGAAGAGCTGGGCGTGGCCAAGAATAATTTTGGGCTCATGAGATTACGGTCCATCTCAGCTTTCAAGTTATAGTAGGTACTTTGGGTGCGCATGCCATGTTGACAGTCACTTCTTCCCTTATCTCCATGCTTCGCTAGAACGCCAGCCTGCAGGTCGCCATTGCTGATGCTGAGCAGCGTGGGGACCTAGCCCTCAAGGATGCTCAGACCAAGCTGGCCGAGCTGGAGGCCGCCCTGAGAACTGCCAAGCAGGACATCGCGCGGCTGCTGCGTGACTACCAGGAGCTGATGAGCGTGAAGCTGTCCCTGGATGTGGAGATTGCCACCTACTGCCAGCTACTGGAGGGCGAGGAGTGCAGGTGAGCGGCCAGTCAGGGCCCAGGGGATGTGTGAGCGAGGTGGGGGTGGGGGATGCCAGGCCAACACAGGATGCTGAGAGATTTCTCCACACTCTGAACTGCTCAGGGCCACCTATTCTGCCGGGAGGGATTTAAAATTGGGGGATTCTATCTGCTCAGAGTGTGCTGCTCCAAGAGGCTGAAAAGCACCCTGGGATATTCTCTGCAGCCCTTCTTAGTGTTTCTTCCTCTTGTCTTTTCTCCTCCAGGATGTCTGGGGAATGTGCCAGCCAGGTGACTGTCTGTGAGTATCAGGGGACTTCAAGAGAGGGGTTCCCACGGGCAATTGAGGACTCTGCTGTGACCCTGCCTCTTTCTTGGCAGCTGTTGGGGGAGGCAGCACCGTCGTGTCTGGAGGAGCAGATGGTGGCCTGGTGGGCACTTGTGGACTTGGAGGCGGGAAAGGCAGCTTTGGGTCTAGTTGCTCCAGCGTCGTGAAGGGAGGCTCCAGCATCGTGAAGGGAGGCTCCAGCATCGTGAAGGGAGGCTCCAGCGTCGTGAAGGGAGGCTCCAGTGTCGTGAAGGGAGGCTCCAGCATTGTGAAGGGAGGCTCCAGCGTTGTGAAGGGAGGCTCCAGCATCGTGAAGGGAGGCTCCAGCGTCGTGAAGGGAGGCTCCAGCGTCGTGAAGGGAGGCTCCAGCATTGTGAAGGGAGGCTCCAGCGTTGTGAAGGGAGGCTCCAGCATCGTGAAGGGAGGCTCCAGCATCGTGGAGGGAGAATCCAGTGTCGTGAAGGGAGGCTCCAGCATTGTGACCGGTGGCTCCAGCATCATCCTGGGCTCTGGGCAGGGCCCTGTTGTGGGCTCTAGCTCTGTGTCTGGCTCTTCCTCTTGCTCCACCAGCCACACTATCCTGAAGAAGACGGTTGAGTCAAGTCTGAAAACGTCTGTCACATACTGAGTGACCAGAGGCCACCTACTCACCCCTGCTTTCCCGAGCCCTCTTAGGTCTTCTTTCATCCTCATCACTCCCACCCCTGCGCTGCCGACTCTGCGTCCACTGCCCACAGCCTGAGCCGGCCACAGGGGACTCTGCAGAAGTCCGCGGGTCCTGCCTGCTTGCTGTTCTGAATGCTCGTCCAGTCTAGCCTTGCTCTGCATGCTAATTTGCATCTTTAGTTGTCTGCTGCCGGCCCCAACCAAGGAGCACAGGGCCCAGCCTCAGCCCACCAGCCAGCCTTGTCCTCCCCTCTCTCTGCAGCCTTCGACCGAGCTGGGAAAACTCCTGATTGGGCTTGGCGAGATTGCATCTCCATCCCAAGGGAGCGGGTCGAGGCCCACTGACCAGAACCTGAGGGCTGGAACCAAGGGCCACACCTTTGCCTTCTTCACCTGCCTCTGGGCCACCATTTCCGTATTTCTGTCCATTTATTCTCTGTGAAATAAAGCAGCACCCAGCTCTCCCTGCAATGGGTCTTCCTTTCTTTCTCCTGCTTCCCCACTCCTTCCCTCCCATGAATTTTTTTGAGTGCCAGGACTAGGGTTACTCTGGTAAGATCGATCAGACCTGTCGTGCTCACCTAATGTGTCTCTCTTAGCCCTTCTGTCTCCAGTATAACCCCTCCCATTCATGAGAGCCAGACCTTCCTTCTTGGAGCCCTTGGTTTCCAGGGACAGAGTGTGGTTTGGTTGCTAAGTCATGTTTGACTTTTGCAACCCTATGGACTGTAGCCTGCCAGGCTCCTCTGTCCATGGGATTTTCCAGGCAAGAATACTGGAGTGGGTTGCCATTTCCTTGTAACTGGCCTTTTGCAGCGAATTCACATACCTAGGGTTGGGAGATCAGGATTTGTGTTGAGGTTCTTTTGTGTCCTCTTGCTTCTTCCAGTCTCCTCCCAGTGATGTGCTGGTTCTAGCTCTACCCAGGGTGGTAAGCTTGGGTCTTGTTATCTCACTTCCATCTCTCACCTCAGAAATTTAACCTGCTGCTTCTCCTGGGCAGGTGAATTCAGCACTGATGCTAAGCCATAACCTTATACATGTGTTCCAAGGGCATTTAGAAGACAGGCTGCAAGGCAGAGACAAAGGTTCCTTTTGGCGATGTGCAGCTTCTCTGCCACTCCTTCCAGCAATTCTGCTCTGCCCCAGGCTTGCATAGCTCATCTCCCCAACCCCCATCCCACAAAACAAAAGCTATGCAGGTACCCAGCTCACTCTCCTCAGAAGGCAATTTATGGATTGTCTACATTGTTTGAGTAGGTCCTGTGGGCATCTCACACCTCACACAAATCAGATCATTAAGGGATTCCTTCCAACACTCCACTATGCTCCCTGGTATGCCCGCCATCTCCTCCATCTCCACTGATGTTTTAGTGGCTCTCATAGCTTGCTCCCTAGTTAACTGCCTACAGTAGGCTCTATTCTCAACCAAGGACAGCCCCACTCATCCTTGTTCTTCCTTCTTCCCAAGATTGTGCCCATTTCTCTCTCCCTTGGAAGCCTTCCCTAATTCTCCATGTCAGAATGCACCAGACACTTCCTGGCACAGCCTGTTGCTATTCTTGGCTCTGTCTCTACATGGGTGTGGTCTGGAACCCAGCTTCCATATTAGTCTGAGACCTCTGGGACCTCTGAGTGATCTGCATCCTGGATGGGGATCAGCAGCTCAGCTTGTGCCTGAGGTTTGTTGGGGACTTGGGACAGAAAGTATGCCCACCTCTCCTACCTCTTCATGCTCATTTCATCTATGGGCCTGTCTGAACGTGACATTGGAAACTTCTCCCTCCCTCTTTTCAGGGAGCTCTGCAGGAAACCGGGAGTGTGGGCATCAGAACCAGGTGCTTGAAGAGTGGGAGTGTCACCTTCTCATCCCCCATCAGCCCATAGACTCCTATACGTCTTCTTTCTTTTTCCTCCTCTCTACCCAGCCAGCTCCCAATACTATGGCCTGAGCTGCAGGTTCAGTTCAGTTCAGTTCAGTCGCTCAGTCATGTCCAACTCTTTGCGACCCCATGGACTGCAGCACACCAGGCCTCCCTGTCTATTACCACCTCCGGGAGCTTACCCAAACTCATGTCCATTGAGTTGGTGATGCCGGCCAATCATCTCATCCTTTGTCGTCCCCTTCTCCTCCTGCCTTCAATCTTTCCCAGCATCAGGGTCTAGGTCACATCATTGTTCTCTGCTTTAGGGGGAGGCCAGCCCTTTTCTCAGACCCATAGGTTCTCTCCATCAAAAGTATCTAAGATGGAGCTTTCCAGCCTTTGCCTTCTGTGAGAGAGCCATTAGTGGGTGAGCACATGGTCCTAGAGCTAGACTTCTTGGGTTTGAATCCTGGCTCCGCCCTTTACTGGTGGTGTGACCAGTTTCCTGACCTCTCATCTCCATGCTTCAGTTACCTCACCTGTGAAAAGACATTCGTAATACAATAATCAGCTCATAAGGCCATGGGGGGTGGGAACATTTAGGGTCCCAGAAGGAAATCAGTGTACTCAAGGTGGTTCCGCTAAATGGACTTTAATGAAAGAATTCCTTACAGAGGTGCGGGTGTGGCTAAGGACACAATCATGGGATGGAAAGTCCAGAGGTGGTCAGTGGTGGGAAGCCATTGCCACTCCCATCACCCCCCACCTTCTCCTCTGGCAGCGGTGGCCAAACTCTGACTTGCATAGAGGTTTTCTGGGGTGTGGGATTTTCAGTGTTAAAGGAGGACGTTCAAGCATGTTAGTTGCTCAGTCATGTCCGACTCTTTGCGACACCATGGGCTATAGCCTGCCAGGCTCCTCTGTCCATGGAGATTCTTCAGGCAAGAATATACTGGAGTGGGTTGCCATTTCCTTCTCCAGGGCTTCCCAACCCAGGGATTGAACCGGGGTCTCCTGCATTGCAGGCAGATTCCTTATCATCTGAGCCACTAGGGAAGGGGCTAAAGTGGGATAGTCCCAGGAAAATCAGGAGGGGATGGTGGCTCTGTGTAGAGCTGAAGAGATGAGAGAAAGAGTGGATGACTGCCTGGGTGATAGAGATGTGGGAACAGGTAGAAGCTGTAAGCATGGAGAAAGGCAGCCACCCCTAGAGCGGGGAGGAGATTGGGAGGAAGTACCTCCCATGTCTCCCAGATCTCCTACTAATGTCCCCCACTCCTTGGCCAACCCCCACCTCTGGAAGCCAGAGAGCCAGGGAGTGGCCTGCAGGGATCAGGGAGGTCAGGGAATCAATCGGAGGGGAAAGGATGCATATGGAGAATCCCCAGTGTGGGGACTGGATGTTTTTGTTTCGAAGGTGTTTTTGTGTTGAAGATATCTGCCCTGTAGTAAGTGCTCAATAAATGCCGACTATAATAATTGTTCCTATTAGGTGAGAAAACCCTGCCCTGGATGGGGCTCCTCAAGGGCAGTGACTGGTTTCTTCATCGCGGCATCTTTCCTGTCGTTCAGCCCATGTTGGGTGCCAGGTTAACGCCATCGCTGTCTGGCCTCATCCCTTCTGTATCAGCAGCAGCATTGTGTCCCCTCTCTTGTGTCCTCTGCAGGGAGGGGCCCTGGACAGGAAAGGGTCTCCAAAGACGGAGGCCCTTGGTCCAAGCAGCAGAGGCGGGGAGGGAGCCATGCCTCCTCAGCTACGGAAGAAAGGTCTGAATTTGGGTGTCCTGTATAAAGATGAGTGGGGAGCCAGACTAGAGAAGGTGGAGTGGCTCCCACGCCGTCTGGGCTGGGGCTGGTGAGACTGTCTCTGATAGTAACTGTGGGCTTTCTCTGCGGGTGTTACCAGCCCCCAGCACATGGCTTGGCACAGAGTTCCAGGTAAACACAGGAGGGTGCCAGTCCCTGGGGAGGGGTGGAGGGTGTGTTTGTGGCCAACTCTACTCCCACCACCCTGCTGTGCCTGACTCAGATGGCTGACATCACTCCTTTCCCCACATGCGACTGTCTCCCCCTCCCATGCTTCCTGGGGAAGAGATAAGGGAGCTGAAAAAGAGGTTATAGCCTCAGGGACAGGACACAAAGGTCCCCAGGAAGTGATGGTTCAGTCTTGGGATGGAGGGCCAGCGCTTTTGAAAGGACTTCCCTGGCGGTCCCTGGTCATAAGCAGAGGCGAGGGGGCCCAGAGAAGTTGAATGTTGCCCAGGGACACACAACTCAGTGGGAGTTCACCTCCCAGCTCAGCTCCCCCAAATGCCTGGTGTTCTGACTCCAAGCAGGGAGAAAAAAAACCCCCTCCTGGGTATTGAGGGACTAGTTCTGGGAGCATCTTCACCCCCATCTGGTGTGGGAAAGTAAAAGTGTGAGTTGCCCTGTCGTGTCTGACTCTTTGCAACCCCATGGAACCTGCCAGGCTCCTCTGTTCATGGAATTCACCAGACAAGAATACTGGAGTGGGTAGCCATTCCCTTCTCCAGGGGATCTTCCTGACCCAGGGGTTGAACACAGGTCTTCTGCGTTGCAGGCAGATTCTTTACCATCTGAGCCACCAGGGAAGCTCTAGGAGGCTGGATTCAACTCCTTCAGGCAACTGGGAGCCACTACAGCCTCCCAGCCACCTAGAAACCATCCCACAGCCTCCTCTGGGCCAGAGCACCTGCTCTCTGCCTGTTTCCTTGGGCAATAGGGGTGGTCCCTTGTCCTCTCCTTTGGAACCCCAACCCTGGCCCTGGCAGCTGTGTGGGGACCACAGCAAATGCTGTCCCTGCTCCTTTTTTTTGGGCAAGTCTCTCTCCTTCTGGGACCACTTCCTTGCACAGCTGAGGTGGGTAATCAGTGGCACATCCTCACCACTTCCTTGTCCTAACACCTGGCTAACATTACATCACCAGGTTCTTCCTCAGGGATATGTTTGGTCCCGGCTGCCCAAGGTGGTAGGTACGGACGAGACTCTGTGAAGTGATCTGAGGAGCCCCCTGGCCCCTTCTGGATCGAGATCCTGGGCTCTGTGACTGGGAAGATGGGATGCTGGGGGTATCTATAGGCTTCATGGGGCTTTTGTTGGACACATCTTGTTTTTTTCAGCTGCACCTTGCAGCATGCAGGATTTTAGTTCCCCGACCAGGAATTGAACCGGTGTCCCCTGTAGTGGAAGCATGGAGTAACCAGGGAAGTTCCAACACTTTTTGAATCTGTACTATGTCCAGCCAGAGTGGGGTGTGTCCTCCACCCACTTCCAACTCCTCCTAAAATGGCTGGGTCCTGCTGGGGGAATGCTGCCAGTGGGGACTCAGGTGGCTGTTGAAGCCTCTGGTCTTTGCCTCCCTCATCTTCTGGCTTCGGCTCTTCTACCTCCTTATTATTAAGTGCCCAGGCCTCTGAGTCAGGCAGGGACCCTCTTCTGTCCTGTGTCCCCTCTGCCCAGCATAGGCTTTCTACCAGGCAGACAGTCTGCTAGCATACAACAAAAGAACAGGCTATCCCCAACCCAGGCTGGCATCTGTGTCCCCAACCTGGAGCTGCCAGAAGGCACCGAGGCTGTGGGCCGGG